AATTCTTATTTTTTGAGTCATCTGAATAAATCAGAATAGACTTTTTTATATTAATTATAGAAATTCTCTTCAAATGCTGTTCATATTCTTTCTCTTTAAATAGTTCATTTATTTATAAGTCTATAAGAGCTTCAAGCTTTTCTCTTCAGAGAGATAACTTCTCATAATCAACTTTGTCAATATTTAAAGAAGAAAATGAATTTTAATCAGAGAGCATAGTCTGTACAGTTGAGAAGACATTTTCTTTAAAGAATTATTTTCATTTCAATCAAGAAATCTATTTCAATTCAGTTCATTTCCAGAGTTAATTAATAGAAATGAAGAAGAGACTCTTTCTCTGATTATATAATTTAAGCTTATCTTTATAACTCTCAGAGTATAGTTCATACAGACCTTTTCAAATCTAATAGCAGAAGAAGAAATTGAAGCTTCAATTTTCATTACTTTAATAGAAGATGATTTAAATACTCTCAGAATTCTTCTCAAGACTCTGTTTTACAGACTTTGAAAGAGTTCAGTGAAATTCTCTTGATTATTTCATTAAACTTGAACTTTATAATCAGTTACTGATGTAATACAGACTATATATAACTGTCTCATAGTCTGGAAGAATAGATCTGTCTCTGTATTTGATAGTCTGATTATATTATTCAATAGTCTTTCTACCTTGACAATTCTTTGTTGAATATGATATTTAAAATTCAACTTGAAGTGTAATCATACTTCTAATCATTTAATATTTACACTGAGTTTAATCTCTCTATTTAAAAGAGTTAGAGATAGTTCTTTCTTCTCAAATCTAGAAAAGAAATGAATTAACTCAGTTTTATTTATATTAAATTGAATTTAATTAATATCTGTTCTAACAAAGATTTTCTTTACAGCTTTTTCAATCACTTTCAAATTCTCTTTGATAGTTTTTGAGCTGCAGACTAGATCAATATTATTCATATAACTCAGAGATTATACTATTCTCATATTTCTATTTTTGAATAGATATACAGTGTATATTACAAATAAAATAAGTGAGATTGAAGATTCTTACAGTACTTCTATTTTTATCTCAGTCTTATCTTATTTCATTTTATCAAAGAAAAGTTGTATAATTCTTTTAGATATAAAACAGTTAACTCATTTATTAGAGAAAGTGACA